GGGTGGGATAAGTTGGCTTTTTGGAGCAACTGGCCTACACTTTTTCCCTTATCCGCTATTTGGAAGTCCTAGATTTGGGAAGCTCTTTTCATCAATTGTTTTCAAGTACAACCTTGGTGCATTTGGCTATCCAGTCCGACTTGTATGCAGGTATGGAGTTGATTTGGTCTATAAAAAGCAGCCTCTATTAAGAGGCCGTGGTGTTTCATATTGCAAGAACCTTTTGTCACCACGATTTGAACATTCAGAAGGTCTGCTTATACTTTGCCTGTTTCCTTTTTTCTGACTGAGCTTGTCTCTTGTTCATGTCTTTTTTTGGTAATTGTGGAATTAATTTTTGTAGAACACGAGGGTGAACTTGAAGAAGCTACTGACAAAACATATTATGTTTTCCTCCCTCCTGAGCTCTGCTTTTTACATCCACTTCCGGGATCCCTTGTTCGGGGTGCTCAGAGATTGCCCTCGATCATGAGGAGGGTTGAGAGCATGCTGCTTGCTGTTCAGCTTAAGGATATGATTGGTTACCCTGTCCCAGCACTGAAGGTAAAATAAACCTCTGATAATTTTCTGGAGTTTGTCTTTATGACTTCATTTGATGCCTAAGCCTTTTGTTATACAGATCTTGGAAGCATTGACAGCTGCTTCATGCCAAGAGACTTTCTGCTATGAAAGAGCAGAGCTTCTTGGAGATGCCTATCTGAAATGGGTTGTTAGTCGGTATCTTTTCCTTAAATATCCCCAGAAACATGAAGGCCAACTCACCAGGATGAGACAACAATTGGTAAGCAACATGGTATTGTACCAATATGCCTTAAATAAGGGACTCCAATCATACATCCAAGCAGATCGATTTTCTCCGTCGAGATGGGCCGCTCCAGGGGTGTTGCCTGTGTATGACGAGGACACCAATGAAGAGGAATCATCCATGTTTGGTAATGAAATAATAGAAAATGGGACTGTGGCAGCAAAGACTCTTGCTGCTGATGAGTTTGAAGATGAGGAAGCTGAAGAAGGTGAGCTTGATACCGATTCAGGTTCGTATCGTGTACTCTCTAGCAAGACGATGGCTGATGTTGTGGAAGCACTGATTGGCGTATATTATGTTGATGGTGGAAAGTATGCTGCAAACCATTTCATGAAATGGATCGGGGTTGAGGTTGATTTCGACTTCAAAGAGACTGAGTACTCTATTAGGCCTTATAGCATTCCCGAGAATGTACTCAGGAGTGTTGACTTTGATAAATTACAAGGTGCTCTGAACATCAGCTTCAATGACAAAGGCCTACTGCTAGAAGCAATTACTCATGCTTCACGCCCGTCTTCTGGGGTCTCCTGTTATCAAAGACTGGAGTTTGTGGGTGATGCAGTACTAGATCATCTCATCACGAGGCACTTGTTCTTTACATACACAGATCTTCCCCCTGGCCGATTAACCGACTTGAGAGCTGCAGCTGTGAACAATGAGAATTTTGCACGTGTTGCGGTTAAACACGGCCTTCATTTACACCTTCGTCATGGATCCAGTGCTCTAGAAAAGCAGGTTCTTTTAACTTCACTTCCACTTTGCATACTCATTTTTTTAGTCAGTATTGGACTTTCTCCTTTTGCAAAGAATATATACCAATGCCTTTTCCCCCCCTTTTTGTCCAGATTCGTGACTTTGTGATTGAGGTTAAAAATGAACTATCGAAACCAGGTTTCAACTCCTTTGGTTTAGGGGATTGCAAAGCTCCTAAAGTTCTTGGTGATATTTTTGAATCAATTGCTGGGGCTATTTTTCTTGACAGTGGGTGTGATACTGCAGTTGTGTGGAAGGTTAGTTTCAAAGGCCTTGTAATAATTAACCTCATTATCCAGCTGTCCAGTTATTGGCGAATGAATTCTGGTAGGGATGTCAGCTCACTTGATTCGTGAATTTTCTCAGGTTTTCCAACCATTGTTGCATCCAATGGTCACACCAGAAACACTACCGATGCATCCAGTTCGTGAACTACAAGAACGTTGTCAACAACAAGCTCAAGGCTTAGAGTACAAAGCAAGTCGAAGTGGGAATATAGCTACAGTTGAAGTATATGTGGATGGTATTCAGGTTGGAATGGCTCAGAATCCTCAAAAGAAAATGGCACAGAAGTTGGCTGCCAGGAATGCCCTTGTTGTGTTGAAAGAGAGGGAGGAAGCCGAAGCTAAGAAGGCTGAAGATGGGAAGAAAAAGAAGAACGGAAACCCGTCGTATACCAGGCAGACGTTGAATGATATATGCTTACGCAGAAATTGGCCTATGCCACTGTATCGGTAAGAAGAACTTTTACATTTTAGCTTTATACCTGCATTGCTAGTGCAAATGCTATGATATTGTCGATGAACAAAAATATGTCTATATCTTCACTCTGAATTGCAAACTGAATCAATAATTTGGTCTTTTTTAGAAGCGTGCACGAGGGTGGTCCAGCACATGCAAAGAGGTTTACATATGGTGTACGCGTAAATACTTCAGACAAAGGATGGACAGATGAATGTATTGGGGAACCTATGCCGAGTGTAAAGAAAGCCAAGGATTCTGCAGCATCTCTACTACTGGAACTTTTAAATAGATGGTATTCATGAAACCTTTTACAGATATTGCAGTCTCCTATTGCTTATCAGGATAGCTATTCCCTGCAAAACAAGCTTACATAATGTCTCTCTGTACTAAAAATTTGGGGCCTTAAACCCCTTGTAAGATGCTTTTGCCACTAGCAACCGACAAAAACTGCCTCATTATCCCACAAAATTTTGAAGTCTTTGGACTGAAACACAAATATTACGTTAAAATCTCCAATTGATCTACCCTTTTTATTCTTGCATGGTATTAATTGCCTGCATTTTCTGAGGCTTTTGAAAGAATTTTTGGTTTTGCAAAATGAAATTTCCGTGGAGAATTGATGTTTCTTGGGTGTTTGATAGATAAGTCTAGTGCTGGGTTACTTAGGTGTTTGATTATTGATCTAGCCTATGAATCTTTCTCCTGTGCCTCGTATCCACTCTCTCCATGCCACCTTTGACAAATTTTTGTTACGGAATTTGATAAATTTGTACTTAAAAAGTGTCCGAGGTGCGTAGATTGTTATTATTTTTTTCAAGATGTTGTTGGGAGTTCCATGTCATCGGAACAGGAGTAACAAATACATGACGAAAATAATAATACCTCCGGTCATATTATTTGTCCGTTAAGGTTCTTGCACCCCTCTTAACAAATACACTCAAGCTTAAACTACTTTTGTCTCGTAATATACATTTCATTATTATTACTCTATCGGAATAGCTTTTACCTTTACATGCTAGGGATAAGGTTTGCGTACACTTTGTTCTCCCCAGACCTCACTTTGTGGCTACACTGGGTTTTTTGTTGTTATTATTAATTGGAATAGCAAGGGTGAGTTAGGAAAAAAGCAATAAATGCTTGTTCTTTTAAACCAACATTTTATAACTAATTAAGCTTGTCAAAACGATTAATATTTGGGACCGGATGTAGTAAAGCCACAAGTGATAACCGTGATTACAATATTACCTTCTCAACCATGGCAACTTATGAATTGCCAATGGAGAGAAATTGTGCTACTTTATTTTTTAAGTATTTAAAATTCTGCGATGCCAATCAGGGCTTCAAGTGTTTACTTCTGTGCTATGTCACCAATATTTCCAATTCAATAATTTGGTAAAAACAAGCTTCTCCAAATTTACCTTAGTAGCAATGAAAGTTAAAATACCAACGGCAAATCAAGAATTTCAGTTTTATAGGTTCAATTCAATTTTAATTGATTTTTCACATAAATTTATTCTCCGTATCGAAGATGAACCCGATACACTGGATGTGGCAGATTAATTTTGTTTGCAGCAGCCATCTAGCAAAAAGTAGATCTCGAGAACATCCTTGGTCTTTGATGAACAACGGAAAAGAGAAGTGAGCAGTCAGCATTTTCTTTGTTTTCTTTTTTTTTCTCCTTTCATTAGGGTAGGCTGTCCTCATCAGCCCCTTAGGGTGCGGCCCTTGCCCGGATTCTACGTGAATGCGGGCTGCCTTTTTTTCTCCCCTGAAAGAACTGGTGAAAGATCTGCACTGAAGACCCAGGCTAAGGCCATTCATTGTATTGTGTGCAAATTTTGGAGAACATGGTTCAAAATCCCTATGAAGATAAAAACCCTAGGTGGTTTCTTTCCATTTGTCTAAGCCTTGGCAGACAGAGTTATGTGGTATATGTGTTGATGAGAGGTAATATGTATCCGGTGTAACAGTGGAGGTGCGCACAAGTTGATCCGAACAACACCGTTATCCAAAAGAAAATGAATGATAAAGATGTGAAGTTGCAATTGACTTGTTCAAGACATTTAGATGGTTTAGAGAATCAACTCTAGGAAGGGCACCAACACATTACTAAGAAACATTAGTCTCACAAATCATTAATGAATGTAAAAGAACTACCTTTCAACTCAATCTTGCAACACCTACAGTTACTAGGTTTTCTTCTTATAAACTGACACGCTTTTACACTATCATCTAAGTTTAGTCTATGGTAAGTGTAGATTGGCAATCTGGAAAGTGATCTACTACAACAGGACAAAAGACTTTGCTGTACGATCAGAGAAACGCCTGTTCAATTTGATAGAAACATTTGATCTCATGATCTGGACATTGAATACTTAATATAAGGTACAGTGATTATCATTGTAGTGAACAGTTTCAATGAGAGATAACTTGATTGAAGACATTCAACAACAACAACAACAAACCATTGTAACCCCACAAATGGGATCTGGGGAGGGTAGTGTGAGTGTACGCAGATCTTACCCTTACCTTTAAGAAGACAAAGAGGTTGTTTCTGATAGACCCTCGGCTCTGAAAAGATAAAAGGAAGGGGCAACAACCAGCAAACCAAACGGAAAACCGAAGAAAAAATATAAAACTAACAGTAAGTAATGCAATCAGAAAACCGAAATGAAAGCAACAAGTAATGACAGAAGTCTAGGAATGTGAAAATACACCATTGACACTAAGTAATGTACAAAAGCTACTGTTACAAACGGATTGAAGACATTGAGGGTTGGAAAATTTTATTAAAACAAGAGATTGCTTGTGTATACTTAAGAGAAAGCAGGAGGAGATAACTACATAATTACATCAAGTGTTTAATGATGATAAAAGCTCAAGAATGTGATTTGATAGTGGCTTTTATTCAGAACAAGAGATTCTTAAGAGAAGCCTCTGGCAGGGACATGTATTGAATCAGGAGACATAGATATCATCTGAAGAAGACTTGAATTGGAAAAAGTTTCTTCAAGATTATGAGTCGACGGACACCTCCTACTTCTACCATCAACTCCATCTTTTGATATGTGAACCAGTTCTCTTGCAACATCTCCCATGTGAAATTTGCCATCTTGGGAACCAAATATTATGCATCTTGTTGCAAGGTCTGCAACTATCTCTATCTGCTCCCTTCGAAAAATAGGCTGCTCATGATAATAAAGATGTGGATCTACAATCTCTTCTAACTTTCCGCTTGTTATCTTCTGTAAAGCCGTCTTTGATGGCACATGATCCGAGCTGCTACCTGTGATAACCTCCAAAAGGACCAATCCAAAGTTGTAAACGTCGCTTTGCTTTTTGTAATCAGTGCTTGCATTTGTGGAGAGCTCGAGTCCAAAGAGTTTCACGGTTAAGTCCTCATCTAGGAAGATGCAACTGGCATTAAGTTCATGATGTACAATGGGGGGATAAACCTCAGACTGGAGGAATGCAAGAACATTTGCTGTTTCAGCAACAATGTTTATTCTCTGGTGCCAATCAAGACCTCTTTTTGTCTCATCTTTAGCTCGAAAAAGATGTTCCCCGAGCGTTCCATTAACGGGATATACATACACCACTAATGGGGTGTATCCAGAATCAACAGACCATCCAAGAATCTGGGCAATATTCTTGTGTGAAACAGCATGTAATGCCTCCACTCGGGACAAGACCTCGACTAGTTCTCGTTCACTATCACATTGTAGCCTGTGTACAGCTATAGCTGATGCGTCCACTAGAGTTCCAGAATATAGTGTAGCTTTGCCACCATGATCAAGAAGTATTTGATCATCTTGAAAACCTTTAGTGGCCTGTTCTAGCTCATAGTAAGTAAACATTCGGATAGTACAAGGTTTCTGGAATGAGATGTTACCCTGACTGCGAGTCATACTAGGATGATCGAATATGTCTGTCTTCATAGGCCGTCTTAGAACACAAAAAAGTGCTGTCAGGGAGGTGATGGTGAGTGCTGAAGTAAGTACTCCTGTGCATATGTAGACAATTGCTATGAGTCTCTCTTCTCCGGAAAACTAAAGAAATTCATATTTGATATAAGACATAACATCGCGAGTTTAACTTTTATATACTGCCAGCGTAAAAGAATTTTTACACTATCATGTCACTAAACGGTAGCTAAAGGTAACCGCCGTAAAAGCGGGATTAGTAACCTAAAAGATAAGGAAGGTTATCTGTTACAACATGCTAGATATACGGATAATCTAAAAGTATTTTACTATCAGTGTACATAAATTAAATCCCAACACCGTCTACAATGAAGGCAGACTACCTGCATTATTGATTATTTTCCTATTTAACTTCCATACACTAACAATGTAATATTTTTAAAAGACAACTAGAGGTAAACGTCCATAAAAAGTAAGATTAATAACCTAGAATAAGGCAAATTACATGCTAAAACAGGTTAAGACACATAACTGGTGCAGAATATGTTTACAATGTCTGTATATATATGTTAAATCCTAAAAATAAAGAGTCTAACTTTTGTGCACTAATAGTATAATTTTGTTGTACTATCATATTAAGATGACCTGGAATAACATGTAACTATTTAGAGAGGAAAAACTGGGTCCATTTTATAGCAGATGGATGTGTAGTTCCAAGAAGTGATAATGTAAAAAGGAGTTCAATCGAGCATAGCAAATTCAGTTTGGTTATTTCAATACCTCCTGCTTTCTGTTATTGAGTTAAAACATGCCGAATTCAATTGAAATTACTGTCACAAGTACAGAGTACAGACCAGCTAGAATTACTGCTTTCCTTCTACCATGACTTGTTGAAGAACATGCTTTGCCATATGCTTCCTTTCCTTCTTTGATGCAAGCTGCCAAAAATTTCACATTCATTACAAGTCAATCATAAACCATCTTGCAGTATTGATGATAATATATCACTGCTATATGGTCATGAGTTTAACTTCTGTGCACTGACAATGTAAGATTTTCTTCACTATCAGGTTAAGATGAAACCTTTTATAGTAATTAATTCTTAGTATTTGGTAATCTAAACGTAATAAACAACGTGCTATCATGGGTTAAAATACACGGATGTTGTAAAACTTCTATATATATATATACGTTAAAACTTATGGGAGTTTAACTTCTATTCACTAACAGTGTATAGTCTCTTATACTATCATGTTAAGATGACCTATTATTGTCTATAGTAATTCTAATTCAAAAATGTAGTAAACAACGTGCTATACTATCAGTATATATAAGTTAAATCTTATGAGAGTTTTAACCTGTGTATACTAATAATATTTTTGCACCATCAGATTAAGATTACCTATAAGAATAGGTAACTATATATTGTAAGTTTGTTTAAAAGAACTCACATTTGAGGCACCCAACTCCAACAGCAAAACCATCACCTACAAATCCATCTTGGCATTTGCATCTAATCCCAGAAGCAACAGTAGTTGCATTGACAATATCAGCATTAGTAGCACAAGTTGCTGTGGTTGAATTTCTTGGAACAGCCCACTCTAACTTAACGCCACGTTTGCCTACTTGATTTCCAGATAAAACAACCCAAGACGAAAATCCCCTGCATCCAAACTGTGAAAAAGTAGAGAAACCATCTCTCTGATCAGCATTCCAAGCGCTGCGATCAGATAACGGGTAGCAACATGCAGGGTAGCTACCCGGGGATCCATCACAACGAGGCATTATGTTTTTCTCGCAATCTGGTTTGCACAAAGATGAATCCTCGCAGTCATAGAGACCTAAGATATTATCTCTAGATATGCCAAAGTTGTCATTTCCTTTAAATCCAAAGGATTTGAGGTCGTTGTATTGACGACAAAAAGTGGTGTTTGGGAAATCCACAAGTACTCCATCAGAGAAGAAGTGGAGAAGTTGATATGTTTGAGAACCAATGTTGAGGAAAAGTGAAGTGGAGTTTATACAAGAAAGGCGAAATGCATCAGAAAGTGAAGAGCCACAGTTGGATTGGTTCATGTAGAATGGAAATGGTATGTGGAAACTCCCACATTTCTCTCCACAAGCTTCTTCATGATGTGTTTCTTGCCAAGTATTCTGATGGTCGTTTTCTTCTTGTCGATCTTCATGTGAGAGAGAATACGTTCCACTGCTAAAAAGTAGTGTGATTATAAGGAGAATACAGAAAAAATGCAGTGGCAGCATGGTCCTGGTGGCTTTTAACATTAGAACTTGGTAATAATGATAGTCTTGAACTGCAGCAGCTAGAGTTAACTAATGATCTTCAAATTAAGGCTAAGAAAATATACAAATGCCAGGGTTGATTGGACGTGATTCTTTAATGGAGGAAATTCCTCTTTATGGCGGAAAATTTGCTCCAACCAAGTTGAAACTAAGGTTCTGAAAAGAGTTTACGATTTCATCTGTGGAAATAGAATTCGAAAAGGTTGTGTCCTTCCCAGCAAACAAGGTCGTGTTTGAGTGGAGGCGATAGACTAAAGGCATAGGCCAAAGGAACTAAGAAATCACTAAGAGTACAAAATTATGTTGAATGAGAGAAAGTTATTTACCTATACCTTACACCTTATTATGCCTATACTTTGACCTTCTACTTATACAATGTCTTCTCTTTCTTTCAAATTGAACGCACGAACACACCGACCTTTATTAACTACAAAAGGACTAAAAATACAAAAGATTTTCACTATCTTTCTCGTTTAACTATCATTTGTGTTGAAATCTTGAATTTAGCTTGAAATGAGGAGTCTATTTTAGAAGTAAGGAAAGGGAAGACAATTGGTCTGAGGAATAGGGTACATACTTGTAACTGGAGTTGTGCCAAATGTAAACGTGGCATAGTTGGGAGACTCACTAATATAAAAGAAAAGAAAATTATACTGTACTTGGTTTTGAACTAAGATAACGAGAATTAAAAATGTGAAAATTGTTTAGTACCCTGTTCATTTCAAGAATAAATAGCTAGGTTCGAAGTACAAAAAGAAATTTTTTATAAATTCGGACAAGAATTTTTATTTTAGAAAACAAAAATTTTGTACTACTCTCCGGATTTCATTTTACGTAACACACGTTATTTTTTTAAAAAAATGACACATTCCTATATTTGAGATCTGATTAATTCCTATATTTGAGATCTGTTTAATTTTAAATTCTGATATTACCCTTAATGACATGCTCTTATAACCATAAATCTATGAATACTTTGGTTTGTGGCAAATGTCTTTCTTTCTTTCGTTCTTAAACTTCATGTCTAATAAAATGAAGGGAATAAAACACTATACAAAAAGTGTTACTTATAATTTTTTTAAATAATTAAAGACATTTAAACAAAGTCAAAACTATTCATTCTCGAGCAAAATAATGTCATCTAAAGTACAGTTGATTAGAATCTCTCATATTATATGCAACAATTAATTCCATACTTGAAAATTCTTTAAGGGGGACAATAATTCCGTAGTAGTAATATAGGTAAATATATTCATAAACTAACATAGAATTTATCACCATATAGTCGATTATTAAGTACAAAATTTCATATATGTCACCTTCAATTGAAATACCAAGAAAAATAACTGGCCTTGGGAATAGTAACAGTACATAGTTTTAGAATATCATCGAGATTCCTCTTGTTTGAGTTTTACGGTATGTCAGGTGTACAAGTAAATAAAAGGTAAAAATATGCTACTAGCACAAATCACAAAAGAGTTTAAGCCATATGGATTAATATTGTATTTCCTCCCTCCGAATTTACTTATTCACAATACTAAAAATAAATGTCAATTTTTCTTCGTCCAGTTTAAAAAATTAATGGATAATTTATTCTTTATTTGCTATTATACCCTTATCTTTTCAAATATTTTTCTATATTTATAATAGTCAAAATTTGTTTTTCAATTGTATATTAATTATGGATGATATAGCAAAATTACCATATTATTTCTTAAAGGGTGTGCCAAGTTAAAATTGAACAAGTAAACTTGGACGGAGGGAGTACTAAATACTGTGTTAAAAGCCATAATATTTTACATTATCAATGTAATTGAACATGTTATACGTATTACTTGGCATTTATGCTAAGTTATCAATCAATGTTATTACATAAACTTATTTGCAATTACTTTTCGAGGGAAATGTTGGTACAAATATTTTTATATCGTTAATACAAAGGATTTAAACTCATCACAAAATCATATGCTCTTCTATTACCTCACCAAGCAGAACTAAAGAATGATGATTAACTTCTGATCAGCCTAAGGTATGTTTATGTACTACATTAAGCAACTACTGTCCTTTCGAAAAGAAGGGCAGAACTGGAATAAAAAATTGAAATTAATGTGTAACTTCAGTGTACAGTACTGAAAGTCTGAAGCATTTTTTATTTTTAAAATATAATATTGGAAATTTTTTCAATTTTTGTATAAATTATAATTTAAGAAATTAAAGAACAAAATATTGATTGAACGTAGTAAAAATTTATGAACCTACTAAATACATAGTAACAGTATCACGTAAGATGAAACAATTATAACAGTATGATTAAAATAAAAATATATATTATGAGATCATACTATACTCTTTCAATCTTCCCCATCCTCGCCCTCATTCACACTCGCGCCAGTGGCGGATACACCTTTGGACATATGGGTGCTGAAGCACCCATTGGCTTTGGCCAAATTATATAATATATTCATAAATAATACCTAAAAACTTCACTAATTGACCATGCGCACTCACTGTGACCACGCTTGGCCATCTAGAATTTAAATTAAAATCAGTGAAGCACCCACGACCTATAAATCCTAGATCCGCCACTGTCTCTCGCCACCCCGGCCCTAGACCCCTGAGCTATGAGAGTTGAAGCCGTGGTCTGGATTTGGATCGGGTCCCGGGTCTGAGGTCAGAGTTGGACTCAAGGTTTAAGGTGGAGATTCGGAGTCAACATTTGGTGTTGGACTTCAGAGTTCGTGGCCGGGATCAAGGTCGAAGACAGGAGTCGAGGGTCAAAGTCAAGGGGTAGGGGTCAATATCGAGGGTATAAGGTTGGGTCCGAGGTCTAGAGTCAGGAGTCGAGGTTGGAGTCACTGTAACACTCCTCAAATCTATAAAAGTTTCAAGAAACGCTAAATATAGAATTAATTTTTTTTAATCTTGCCTAGAGTGCAAAAAAAAAAAAATTATACTTAAATAATGGGATATACAATTAGGGGAATATTAATAATTTTAATATTATTAATTATTAAAAGTGGGTATCATTAATTATTAGTTAAGTAAAAATAAAACAAAATAAAAAAATAAAAGCAATAAAACAAAATAGGGGGACAAGCCTAAAAGCTCATAAAGGGCTGTTGGAATCAAAAAGGATTGAAATCCTTGTACGAAAACAGAAAAGCATTCTGTTCATTCTCACGAATAGAGAATCACGAAACAGAGGCGGCTTACTCACGCAGGCATCGGGAAGTTCTAGGTCTCTTTACAAATCACTAATTCTTGAACTCAGGTATATAAATTCCTATTCTCAATTATCCTACAGTATAAGAATTGGATAGTTCATTCCCGTCTTTCTCTGTATAAACAGTAAATTTCATGGTTAGGTGTGAAACTTTAAAATTGATTAAAATGCATTGGTTGTTGTAGAATCGATTGTTTGACGGGTATAAATTGGACTGATGCCTACGTATTGGCTCGAGGAGTTTTGATGTGAGCGATATAACCTTTTACTAAAGTGGTTTAACTCACAAAAGCACGCATACAAGGTGTTTGATGAATTGCTTAAAAAAGTTAATATGTACTTAATTGGAGTGAGTGAGTACTTATTAACTTAGAATTGTTCTAGCTAAAGTTAAGATAATTTATTATGATATATGATCTCGTCCAAGTCACAGGTCAAGTCGGGTTTTACTATCTCTAAGTTCAACCCTTTAATTGGGACTATCAATCTCTTGGGTTTATCCTAAATTCTTGTTAGCCAAGTTTTCCTAGACTAAGTCTCTCTTTCTAAGTAAAGACCAAGTCAAATAGGCATGAACTAATGTTTGCAACCATTAATTTTACAATTAAAAGCAAGAACAAGGCTAAATAATAAAAACTCAACCATAAACAAGCCATAAAATAAACACCCATTAGGTTTACACTATAGGGTTGGGTCACAACGCTAGTGAGAATCTAGCTACTCATAGTGAGTATAGAAGAAATTAAAGAATAAAAGATGATAAAACTCATATTGAAAGCTTAGAATATAAAAATCCAATATTGAATCACCAAAATAAGCTAAAGTTGCCTAAAGAAGCAAGGAAAAACGGCTACAACACTTGGATATTCAAAACTTGACCTAATTTCGTGAAACTATCCTATTTATATAAAGCTGGAATTTTCGGACAAAAATACCCTTTCGGAGGTTCTGCGGCCGCACAATTCCATGTGCGGTTCGCACTTTGCTTCAGTCTTGACAGGAGTTGGATCTGCGGCCGCACAATTCTGAAATGTGGCCGCATCTCTCATGTTCTGCGATCCGCACAATTCTTGGTGCGGTCACACAGGGCTCTTCTGCGGACTGCTTATGAGTGCGGCCGCGTAGCTGATTTCTGCTGACGCACAATTATTGTGCGGTCTGCATTTCTTTTTGAGCTTGAAATGAGACTCTCTGAACTTTAACTCTTGCATAGCTTATGCGGTCGCACAGTAATTGTGCGGTCCTTACTTTGCACTAGGACTCTGATAATTTTCCTTCACATTCTGCGGCCGCAGATGGAAATCTGCGGTCCGCACTTGAGCTTCTGTGCCTGATTTTGTCCTTGAGTTCAGTCAATATTTACAATAGTCAAAATTTGTTTTTCAATTGTATATTAATTATGGATGATATAGTAAAATTACCATATTATTTCTTAAGGGGTGTGCCAAGTCAAAATTGAACAAGTAAACTGTGATGACCCAAAAGGTCATCACTCGTTTTGAAAGTAAATTCTGTGTTTCGAGGCCTTAAATTCTCCTTTTCATCCCACCTCGATTTGCGTGCGCACTCGGGACGTGTATCTGGAAAGTCATTATGTGAAAATCTGTGAAAAATGATGAATTTTGGCTTTTAAAATGAATTTAGGTTGACTTCGGTCAATATTTTGGGTAAACGGACCCGGACACGTGATTTGATGGTCCCGGAGGGTCCATAGAAAAATATGGGACTTTGGCGTATGCCCGAAATCGAATTCCGAGGTCCCAAGCCCGAGAAATAAATTTTTAAATCAAATTATTTTCTGGAATATATATGAGTTTTTGGGAATGAAATATGTTTGAATTTGATGGTATCGGGCTCGTATTTTGATTTCGGACCCCGGTACAAGTTTGAAATAATAATTTGGTTGAATCTGTAAAATTTGGTAAAGATCGGAATTTGTTTGGTATAAAACGGACTTAAAGTTGAGAAATTGGAAATTTTAGTGTTCTTGGATGATTTCATGGAATTGGGGATTAATTCATAGCTGTTGATATTATTTTGATGATTTAATTGCACAAGCAAGTTCGTATGATGTTATTGGACTTGCGTGCATGTTTGGTTTGGAGCCCCGAGGGCTCGGGTGAGTTTTGGATAGGCCACGGAGTAAAATTGGACTTAGGATCAAGTGCTGGTATCTGGTATTTTTGCCCAGGCCTCTG